GTTGAGCCTCGGACGCAAAGAAAGTATAGTTTACTTTAGTTTTAATTTTCTGCCGAGACGCGCTGATGTGTGGATTCTTGGAGTGATTTTTGGAAGCGTTATTAAAAGTAAGGCTGGGTATTTTTTTTAACTATCATGAATTATAATTTTTCTCGGGAAATACCGTTGAGTTTCGATTGGACTGTGAAAGATAAGCTTGTGATCTTGTGATTCGTTTTTTGAATTGTGCGTCCGATTAATTTCATGCGCCTGTTCGATGAAATAGTTTCTGATTTCGAAATGTTTCTTCTCTTTTTCAGAATATTCATGGAAATGTGAAACATTGTGTTCGAATTTTTGCGGTGGGCGAAACAGTGTTGAAGTCAGTTATGATTGGTTCTATTCGGAGGAACGGATGACTTGAAGAAAGAGGAAGAACAAGTGTGTCGTGTTTGCCACTCATTCGGTGAGTTTTCGTATATGTTTCTCAAAAACATAGTAATTTCGTGATGAAAACTTCTTTCCCCGGCCTATCCGCTAATTATCAAACAAACCATGAGGATGAAAGATTTGTCTGATTAAATCTAGAGATTCTTCTCGGTTTTTGTTACTCAAACACAGATTGTGTAATGTTAAACCGGTTCAGGAGAATACAAATATTTCAGCTGCCAAGAAGGACGCTTCACCCACTGGGAATCCGACGGAATTCTCTTGGGAAACGTATCTCAAGGAAACTGGGAGTGTACCTGCTCCAACGCATTGCTTCAAACAGGTGGGATTTTCTTGCAATAAAGTGCAGTGGAACCTCAAAAACTTCAAAATCCCCAAGTCGTGTAATGTACCTTCCTATGTTGAATTTTTTTTCAAGTCACTGTCTCAGTTTCTGAGATACGATGCATTAAAAATATCTCTGAACTCGGATGCTTTCTCCCTCAAACCTCAATAACTCCAATTTTCTGAAGGCCTTTTGGGCTATTATTTTTTGACGCAGGAAAGAGAAAAATGATAAAAATGTAACTTCATGTGTTTTACGGGAAAGTGAAAGAATAATTAGGCAAATAAAGCCATTCCTCCAAGTTTAGCATTCTGTCAACTTATTTAAAAAGCAAGTCAGGCTCAGATTATCCCCAATTAAAATTTCCTGTAATTCTTCTTTCTTTCCTCCTAAAAAAATGCTTGCTCCCCTAACTCGAATTTTTTTGCGGGACCGTCAAAGTTCGACTTGGAGAGGTTCGACTGTACAAGTATGTTTTACATGCATTTTGCGTTGCCCTGTGTCTCCTGTGTCAGGTATGAGGTAGATTTTTCCCATAAAAATGAATTCGATTTTGAAAAGGTGTTGGTGTTCTTGGCTTAATGTGATGAAATTTGTAGCTCGCTGTTGTTATTACAGTACTGCAGTAAATGGAAGATTAGTGTGCGATATGACCCAGTTTAGCTGGAATTGCAGTTCGATAATCCCGCCGATATTTCCCAGCCGTACATGAATGAAATACTGATCCGTAATCTAATGTAGTCTTTTTCATAAGTAAGACTGATATTTTTTTTATTTCTCAACGAAGAGCGATAAGAAATTTGTGAGTTATACTGTAGCATAAATGCTGGTACTGTAATTGTGGAACGTCTTGTAGAAGGGAATATTGACGTAAAGAATCGTAAATGCAAGATCTGTAGGTTAATGTCACGAGAGAAAAAAAGAAACTGGAAGAAAGAAGAATTTTTGAATCCAGCTCATTTATTGAAGACCCATCGTAACATTCAGCGATAATGTATATTTTTAATTTTTTTCAGCACGCGGATCCGCCGGTGAACGAGTTCAAGCCAGGAATGAAGCTGGAAGCCGTCGACCCGCGAAACACCACATCGACCTGCATCGCATCCGTCGTTTCCACAGTGGGTCCTCGTCTCTGTCTTCGTTTGGACGGCGGCGACAATTCCAACGACTTTTGGCGTCTAGTGGACTCTGTCGAGATCGGGCCAATTGGCCAATGTGAGAAAAACGGCGGGATGCTTCAGCCTCCGCTGGGATTCCGCATGAACGCGTCCTTTTGGCCCGTGTTTCTCCTGAAGAATCTCAACGGCGCCGAAATGGCGCCCCCAAAGTGCTTCAAAAGGGAACCCGCTACTCCGGAGGTCAACCTTTTCCAGCCCGGCATGAAGCTGGAAGCGATTGATCGGAAGAATCCGCTATTTATTTGTACCGCCACAGTTGGTTAGTTTTTGTCAATTTCCTTTCCCGATATTTTTTATTTATTTATGAACGATTGTTGGGTTAAAAAAAATTTGCCATCAAATGACCTAGCGAAGTTTTTCCAAATATATGATTTGCCTAATACTTGTTGGAATATTTTTGGAATCAAATTTGCTTGTAGAAAAAAGCATCTTAGAAATTGCGGAAGCTTTTTCATGAACTACCGTATCCATCAAGTTAGACGCGCATCGGGGGTTTTCAGTGGGAAATTTTGACAGAATCGTATCCCCGAGACGCCCCCCCCCCCCCCTCCTAGCTCCAGACTGCTAAAATCAGTTGATCACCGAATCCTCTAAGGAGTCAGAGTCCGTTTAGAATCCCTGCCGTTCGCATTGTTCGGATTGCTTGAGTTGTCTGATTCTGAATAAAACTTGTATTGTCAAGAAAGTCTGTCTGTTATTTCGAAAGTCTCGCGTCGCCAGCACTTCGCCTCTCCGCGAATCAAGGAGTAAAGAACTCCAAGAGGAAAGACACTCTTTTACGTTCCCAATAGTTTTATCTTTAGTTATTCTAAATTAAAAATAAGCTAAATAGGATAACACATGAATTACGCCCATGTTCTATTTTTCTGAACTATGCTTTTCTCTTCAACCTTTGTCCAAAAATCTCATTGCAACAATTTACGGTATAATGCGCACCTACTTTTCTTTAAATTTTTGAAAAATGTATTCCCACCTATGACGCGCACCCCCTTTTTTCTCTCAAATTTGAGAAAAAAGTGCGTGTGGGACTCGAATTTCACCGTATTGAGCTTTAACTGCAATTTTCTAATTATTTTCAAAGTTACGCTGTATATATTTTTATTTTAAGTTACTGTAGAAGGCGTTCATGTTTTTGTATAGATTTTTTACTTTTCTCTGAAGGCGTGTTTTACAAATTTTGCAGGAAAAGTGAACCAGGACATGGTGCATATAAGTTTCGACGGATGGAAAGGAGCCTTCGACTATTGGTGTCGATACGATTCCCGCGACATCTTCCCAGTTGGATGGTGCAGTGCAGCTGGTCACCCACTTCAGCCTCCGGGACAGAAATGTGAGTGCTCCGTCGCTGTTCGTCGGTTGTAGGATTCCCGAAACATTTTCTGTGTCGGGAGAACTTTTTGATATTATCGTGATGAACATTTCCACTGAGTCAATTACTGGGCCTTCCGGCTATTTTTTTATTGGCACGGAACAGAGAGAAGAGCTGTGGAAATGTAACTCGATGTTTTTTGGAAGGAATTTAACTAATTGGGCCAATGAACTCTTGTCTCCAAGTTTAGCAACCTTTTAAATCATTTAAGATGCAATTTAAAGCCTAGAATATCACTAATCACAATTTCTTTTAATTCTTCTTTCCTTTCCCCTACAAAAATACTTGTTTCTTTAACTCGAAACCTGCCTAACTCGAATTTTTTGCTGGTCTCTTGAAGTTAGACTTGAAGAGCTTTGACTATCTATAATACAGTTGTATAATATCATCGTAATGTGCATTAATTACTTTATTGTTGAATCCAGGGTCTACGAAGCCAGGTTCGCGGTATTACCGAGTCAACAATGCGTCCGCGAATCCGCAGTCGGTGTCACCGCCGCCTGCCGCGTCGCCGCCGCCGCCTCTCGTTCCGATCTCAGCAGTCATCTCGTCGAAAACGACCGGTAAGGTGCTCAGGTCTTCCACGGCCCCACCGAAGACCAAAGAAGAGCCACAGAGATCCAGTGGCCGACCGCAACGCAAAAGAAGATTGGTCGAAAGTGAGAGCAGTGAATCTGACGAGTCCCCGAAAATCACGCCAGAAATTGTTAACGAAACGCCTGTGGAAGTGCCACCAGGTTTGTGGAAACGCTTTTCCATTTGATGATGGTAATTCTGTAAAGGTTTTTTTTTTTTTGGTCTTTAGTTTTGTTGGAACTTTGTTTCAATAAGAATTGCAATGCTGGGCAATTTTTGGATCCGGAAAATGTGAAAAAATTGCCGAAAAATTTACCGGCGGCGAAACTTGTGGATCAAGCGACGGCCCTGTGGTCAACTCTGCAACCCTGTGCCATTGGAGGGAAGAAGCTGGAAGACGTGTTCGCGGAAAGCAAATTTGCTCTCCCTTTGAATGGTGAGACCAACGACTTCCAGGCTTCTGTAAAAAAACATAACTAAGATTTAATTTTTACCATATTTGGATTAACAAGAATTCCCGTTCTTTGTTTGAGCACTGAAATGTTATCGTTTCGTCTATTTTACTGTATCTCAGAAGTGTTTCTGCATTTCCGAATGAAGTATCATTCATATCAAAAATGAGCTCATATTTGAATTGATTCAGTTGAAACGTATGTAATGTCAAAGAAAATCAGAGTCTGGGACATGGTACTTTTTAGTAGAATGATCTGCACGTTTTTCTCGTTCTTTCGATATCATGATCCAAAATGTTTGCAGTCGAGTGTTCTTAGAATTATAGATGTCCACGTGAAAATTGGAATATTTTCTGAGTCAAAAAAATAATCTTGGAAAACGCGGGAGCTTTTTTGTAGAAGAACCGATTGATGTTTTCAAACCGGACTACACATTTTCTGGTTCTTTTTGACGTTACGGTGTACATATTTTTATTTCAAGGTACAGTACTGTAGAATGTTATCATTGCTTTTGTACAGATTTTTGTTCAAAGAAAGTTCGTTCATCTGACTAAAGACGATTTTCTCGTTTGTTTCCAGTGTTGACCAGCCAGAAAGGAACCGCTGAAGAGTGGACGGACTACTTGGAGCGGATAAGCAAAGCACTTCAGTGTTGCCCGTCTTTCCTGGCGACGAAAAATTTGGCTGACGAAAAGTGTGGCAAATGCGTCGTGGTGGTGGAAACGCGGAAACAGAACGCTGGCACGTCGTGGGAGCGGCGAGCCCAGGTGCCCGTGGCGCCGGTGGCTCCGGCGTCCCACGTGGCTGTCGCTGTGGCGCCTCGAGTTGTGCCGTCGTCCACCACTCCGTCCCAGTCGTTGGCCGACATTGTCCGTTGGTCTATTGACGACGTCATTCGCTACATATCTCTCATCGATCCCTCTTTGGGCGCCCATGCGGACTTGTTCAGGCGACACGTAAGTATTTTGTCGTGCTTTCTGAATGTTTTCCAAATGTTCTTTTCACTCTCCGTCCTTGGGTATTTTTATACCATATTTGCTCGAGTACCACGCGCACTTTTTTCTCATAATGGAGAGGAAAAATCGAGTCAAAGAGAATGACATTTTCAAAAAATTTAAAGAGTAAAAGGTGCGCGTCACACTGCAGTGTAATGGACATTTCTTGATTGGAACTTTTTAAAAATCGACGCAATTGAAAATTGAATGAATTCATATCGAAATTTGAATCCGGATGTCTTTTTTTTTATGCATTGCAGTTTTTCATTCGCTAAAAATGGGGCGAGCGTCTCACTCGGGGGAAAGGATTTCATCAAAATTTTAGGGTAAAAAATTTGGGAGCGTGTCTCGCTTGAGGGCGTATTACGATAGCGTTGTGATCTTTGGCGTCGTAAATTGATTTTGAATCGTTATGGAATTCCAGGTTGGCTGCTTTTAGATAGCTAAGCTTTCAAAATCGTAACTCGCTGATGTTGGCTAATTGAAAGGGTAATCGTTCAAACTCTTCTTTTTCTCTATTTTACCGTTTCTGCAAATCGAATTTCATGAAGCATATTTTTTCAGCAGATTACTGTAGAGCGTTTCAAGTGGGAAGTTCCTAGAGATCTCCGTTCTGATTAAAAAATCTTGATTATGTAATGTCGTGCCGTAATTCGTGAGCGCTCAATTTTTTTCTTCTTCAGGAAATCGACGGAAAGGCGTTGGTGTTGTTGGATTCCGACATGGTCATGAAGTACATGGGACTCAAGCTCGGTCCCGCGCTGAAAATCTGCAACATTGTGAACAAACTCAAGCAGAAGAAACTGTTTTGATTTCGGAGGCGTAAAGGAGTTGTTGTTTTTGTTGTTTTCCTTATCGTATAACTTATTCTGCGGACGTTGATGAGGGAGGGAAGTGATGCGTCCCACGCGTTCGTAAAAGGAAGGAAATTGTTTCAAATGTGACTGCGGATCTCAGTTGAGTTGGTTTTTAGGTTCGAAGGAGTCAGAATTCAATCCTATCGGTTTTATTATTTTCCCCCTCGGATTCTGTCCAAGCAACTGTCCCATATTGGGGCTCCAGCACTTCTTCGCTTTTTTTTTTCTCTGATCTGTGGGGAAAAGCTTCCGTTTGTCTAAGCTTAACGGAATTCTCAGACTCGAGTGTAAAGTTTATACTGTAGCAAGTTTTTTAGTTTAAAAAAATGGGGTTAATTCTATCTTCTGTTGAAGTGGGCTAGGCCACTTTTTTTTTTCTTGACGTTTTCGACTGTTTCTAGATGACATGTCAAGACAGGAATCAGTCCGTATTAATATCATGGTTCATTACCGTGACCTGACCCATTGTTGGTTTGGTAAAGTAACGACTTCTGCAATTTTTTGTTTTTCTTGTGGTAAAGGCGCGAGGAGTACGAAATCCTTGAATTATTCGCTGGTGAGGTCTGATTTTGTATGACCAATGCAATGTTTACATTCGATGTAACTCTCAGACGGGTGGAAAACTGTATCAGTGGTGAAGAGCTCTATGTTGGAATATTTTCTATGCAGACATGAAAGGTTACTGCGCTCGTCGAAGGAATCCTCGCCTTCTTCCCAAAACTTCATCAGTTTTGTTTCAGAATTGTCGTCTAGAGAGAGGGGAAACAATTCGCTTGAAAATACTGGGTGTCCAAAAACTTGCTGCGCAATTGGAAAAAAAAGTTTAGTGAAGCTTTGATGAAGGTGGAGTTTTATATGCGTTATACAAAGTCCTCCCGAGTGGAAACTTGTTCTTGTCGATACGCATTGCCCAGTAACTTTTTGGGAACCCCTTATTTTGTTCGACGTCGTAAATATCATCGTCCTCATCGGAAATATGTTGTTGGAAAAGAATTTGCGAAGTTTCTTTGTTGATCGTTCTTGGTGTGGTTCGCGGATTTTTTTTTTTAGTTCCACAAGTTCAGGGTGCTTTATGTGAATTTATTAGTTTTTTTTTCTGTTCCGCCCTGGTTCAATTTTCTTGACGATTTGAAGTGATCGTTTTGGGTTGGAAGGACGTGAAGCTATACTTCTTACATTGGAATTGGTCTGACATTTTTTTCCCTGTTTTCCTCTGGTTTTTGCACGGAAATTTCTGAACGATAAATACGAGGGGCTTCTCAGAAGTCTCGCGAATCACCTGCTGATCCTCGTTGCCGTAAAATGAATGTTGTTCCAGCAATTCAGTCTTACTTGTCAAAAAGACAAATTCATACCCTTTCGTTCAGAACGTGAAAAATAGATTCATTTTTCCTGGATTCTTCGGCAAAAAAAAAATTTAAGTTTGCGTTGTTGTTTTTGTTTTTTTCTTCACAATTTAACGGGAAAACCTTAGAGATTATCACTACAGTTCTTCCGTCTGCGATGACAACTTGTTGGTGATTTGTCGGACTTTCGAGGAGAACTTTGCAATTGATTGCTGTGGCGCATTTATTTATTTATTTGTTTTTATTTTATTTTTCATTTGGCAGAGCATGATGGAAAAGTGAAACCATGTGGTGCACGTGAACGAAAAATTTTCCTCCCTAGAAATGGGAATCGGAGCCGTGGTGTGGATGTTGATGTTCGGCGCGTGTCTCGGAGTGGACGTGACGCCGCAATTTTTGCAGGACCTGACTGGCAAAAGCGAGGCATTGTACCCAGCAGCGTTCGCGGATGTCGACGGAGATCGTTTCACGGACGTCATCCTGTTGTCGAACGATGCCCACGTTTTGCAGATTTTGCTCGGGGGTCGCGAGATGCCCATCAAGTCCTTTGGAGCCCAGGTTGCCTGTGACTGGATGGAAGAGAGTGAACGGATAACGAGTGTGGTGCCCGGGGACTTTGACGGCGACGAGACCCTGGACATAATCATCACTTACTCGAGGAAAGGGTCCCAGTTTTCCACTTTGGAGGTCATTTGGGGAAGCGGTGACGGCGAATTCAAGTGCAAGAAGACTCCGTCTTCTAATGAAACCTTGGAGTTTGAAGTAAGTCGACCAGCAAACAAATGCGAGTTACGGAAACGAGCATCTTTTGGGGAGAAGAAAAGAAGAACGACACGAAATTGTAATTTGTGATATTCTAGGCCTCAAATTTCTTCTTGAATGAGTGTACGGGATGCTAAACTTGGAGGCAAGAATTTATTTACCCTTCCTTTTAAAATTCATTCATTCATTAAGTTACATTTTTATTGCTTTTATCATTCCTGTTTTGATAAAATTGTCGCCGAAAGGTCCCGAGAAAATTTAATTTATGGAGGTTTGAGGAGGCTATCCTTTGAGTTTGGGAGGTTTTTAATGCATTGTTTATGAAGAAATTCAGACAGGGACTCGAAAAAAATTGACACAGTGAAGGATTCGATTTGAAGACGTTCGAGTTATTGAGGTTCTACTGCACCCCGAAGATTCGAGGAAATCTCAATGGATTTACTTCTGAAGGTCCCTCCAATAAAGTCAAAATTTTATGCAATGCTAATTACAACGAAGAATTTTTCGAAATCCCAAAATTTTCGTTTTACAGTAACAACATTATCAAGTTTTTTTTTTTTTTAGATTTTTATGCGAAGATTTTGTTCACGTTGAATATTGCATTAAATATTTAAAGATCGTATTTCATCTAATCGACGAAAGTCAGTTTCGCTTTACTGTTTTTTGTTGTTGCCTATTTGTTGATTTTCCTGGAAATTCTTACTAGTGTCCCTCGTTACTAACCTTCGAATTTGAAAACGCGGAACTTGAATATATTTCTGGAACGTCTCCATTTGTTTTTTTCAGGATCAGCCATTGGCGATGGACTTCAACGGAGACATGATACCCGACATATTCGTCATCAACGAAGACGGCGTCCCGGTCGTGTGGACATGGTCCAAAGACCGAGTCGCATCTCCCAACTACATGTTCTACATTCCGTCCGAAGTGCGTCCCTTTAGTCTCCACGTGCCGCATTCGAACGCCTTTGTTGACCTGGACGGCGACTACCACTCGGACCTGGTCCTAACAGGAAGCAAGCAACTCCTCGTGTTCCCAACCCGACACGACTTGAAACCCTACAGCATCCCGTGGCCCCGCGACGTCGACATGGAAGCCATTGGCCAAGCCGCGTTTTTCGACGCCGACGCTGACGATCAGATTGATTTGTTATTGCCGTCGTGCACGTACGTGAGTTCTTTCCAGAGTCGGTATTGCACGGACGCCGTTTTGTACGTGCGACCCGGGGGCGCCAAGGACGGGGACTGGGTCCGATTGGAACTATCCAAGCACAACGGATCCGAGTGGACCTTTGCCCTGGAAAAGGGCAAGCGGTACATTGACACCATTTCCCTGCGGTTCGGTGACTACGATTTGGACGGATATCCGGATTTCCTCGCCACCATGAAAAACACCGAGACGCAAGAACACCGCGTCATTTTATTCCGCAACGTTCCGTCGTCGGCGAATCCCGGGTTCTCTAGAACGTTCGTTCCGGATCCCGCCGCGTTTCGCGAACAGAATACCATCATGGGCGCCTTTTTCGACCTGCACGAAAATGGACTTTTGGACGTGATGCTGTTGAGACACCACGAGAAACATCCCGAGGATCACGGATTGATTCTGTATGAGAACGATCGTCCCGTGGGCTACGATCACTACTTTCTCAAAGTCGTTGTTTTCGGGCCGAGGAAAAGCAGCGTTATCGGAGAAGATCTCTATTCGGCGCCGACGAATGTCGCTGGTGCGACGGTGTCGTACATTTTGGACGACTTTGTCGGCAAGCAGAAAACCGCGAAAGCTGTCCAACAAAGTCAGACGTCTCATTTCGCGTTGCAGTTGCCGTATGTGATTTTCGGGCTTGCGGACGTGTCCAATTTTGTTGAGTCCTTGACAGTGGGGCTCAATGTGAATTGGGTGAATGGGACTTTGAGACAGGATTTGCTGAAAAGCTGGTATCAGTTGATTCCGAATTCCCAAGTTTACGTGATCCCGAGTCCACTGGAAATCCCGAAGGAATGGAAGATCAAGTTGTATCTCACACCGAAGCATCTGATTGGAAGGACGATGTTGATGTTGTGGAGTCTCGGTTTTGCGGCGTTGATCATCGTGGCGATCATTTATTGGAGGGAAAAGATGCTGGATCGGAAAGAGAAGCGGAAGGAGGCTTATATGATGTATTTCGGTGCCCTGAGGGGATGAAAGCGTCGTGGGGAATTTTTTTTTTTTTCATTTTTGGTGCTGTCTTCATAACCTACCATGTTTTCCGAAAGAGAAGTAAGATCGGTTGTTTTATAAAATTTTTCATGTTCGCGGAATGCTGTAGGGCTTATTTTAAGAGAAGATCCTGTTTGGAAGATTGATTTTCTTCCGTATGGCGTTAATTGAGAAAAATAACCCTCAATTCATTTTTTCAATTCGTAAACTTTTTGATGTAAAAGAATCCCTCTTCATGCAGGCGTAACTTGGGAGTATGGAAATATTTTTTTAAGCATTCCGTTGCCCCCAGATATGCAGGAGGTCGTGAAAAAACCTTCATCCTTATGGTTTGATGACGGCAAAATTAAGTGGACGTTTTTTTGTGTGTTTTTTCCAAAAGGCCAAACAACGAATTTCGTCGCAAACATCAGGATTATTGCCCAAGTCGTATCTGCATTGCACAGAAACTTCGCTGTAACCAAGAAAATAACTCTTTATTGGAAATACTGTACTATGAAGTATAGTTGGCTCCAGATTCTGCAGGTGGTCACGTATTTTCAACATTTATCAATTCTGATGGTCGTTGAACCTTTGAGGGTCGGGTCACACATGAGATTACAGCACTTTTTTTTGTAATCTTCGCGAGGGCATTGGAACTTCTGGAAGAACACTTTTTTCATTTCGGAGGTGAAAGGGATGCAAAGGAAAAGAATGATTTTTCTCACTTGAAGGCCGAGTTGATGCAGTACTTGGCTGGAACAGTCCAGTCCGTGAACCATGTGATGTGATATGTCTATTTTTTTCTGTGTTGCCGAACGCAGAACAGGATTTTTGGTCGAGGTTTTAGTAGCCCGTGATGTGATCTTGTCAAATAAATTAAAAAAAAAAAATTGCCGGGCTTTTTATTTTTTAAATGATGGAATATGTCGTTGGTGACGTATTCCATAATTTAAAATCATGGTTCGTCTTTCTGAAGTGTCTTTAGTTTAATGTGTAGTATTTTCAATTGAGTTTTTGTTTTGCTTTTCTTTTTCAGGCCTGACGAAATTCTTCGTTTGTTGTGACGTGATTTCTGATCTGTTATAAAAATGATCCGAATTGGTCGACCGCCGCCTGCGATCCAAAAGCCGGAAGGAAAATTAGCAGTTATTACCTCTTTCTACTACGACCCTTTCAAATGGTGAATAACGGGGAAAATTTTTTTATCGTTTGCTCTGATACGAGGGTTGTCCCAACGCCGAGCGACTTGAAGATGTTTTTGACGTCACTAAAAATTGGAAAATGATTTCAAAATTTTCCCAATGATGTTTTAGGCATTTTTTATTTTTCTGGTTACAGCCCGAGTTTTCCAATAAATTTTATAATCTGCTGACAATTTTTTCAAGAGACTTCACAAATTTTCAATGTTACATATTTTCTTGGACGTGTATCTTGGCAGTTCATGGAACGACATTTTTCCCAAAACCGCGAAAAGTTTGATAATTTTTACGTCGCTAAAAATTTGAAAACATTTTCGAATTTTTCCTCATGATGTTTTTGGCTTTTGCTGTCTCTCAGGTTTTTAAGACATTTTTTTCGAGACGCTAATTAGCACTGAAAACTCCCTGGTTACAGTTCCTGTTTTCCACTCATTTCACAATGCACTGAATATTTCTCAAGAGAGTTCAAAATTTTTTCAATTTAAAAAATTGAGGAGCAAACTACGAGAAATATTGTGCGTCACAGATTTCCAACTCCAAACCCGTGACGAATTTTGATTACTCCGTATAACACCAAGTTTTTTATTAGTTTGGCTCGATCCTTTCTTTCTGGAATGTCAAGAAATGTCACTTGAATCACTTACTTTGTCCGAAAAGTTATGTAAACTGATGATCTTTAACAAAACTGTTGATCTTTAACTGTTGACCTTTAACTGTCGAACAGAATAGAACGATTTTTTTCAGAACTTTCTGTCGTGAAGATAAGAAGATGTAGGCGACATCTATGTAACACCGAAGACGATCGCAGATTTGAGTATGTTGGGCGGTTACGTTGAAAGAAACCCCCCCCCCCCTTTTTTTACGCGCGAAGTATAAAATAAATTCAGCTGTAGAATAAAATCAAGCGTTTTTGCAGTTCTTTCAAAAATTGCGCGAGTACCGAACATATTTTTTGGGAATGTATGCATTGAATGAAGTTTACATTTCATTTTCCTGTGTTATAGGTCGTTGGTGAAAAGCGTGGGCATGTTTCTTCTCGGCGTGGAAATAGCGAGGCAGTTTGACGGAGCCGTGTTGATGCCAGCTGCGTAATGTCGGATTACGACGAGTCCCTGTTTTCCAGTGATATTTTTTTCCGTTGCTGTTGCTCTTGTTATCATCCTTGATGGTTTCTCTGTAGTCGGGACATTTTTTTGTAGAACGCGTCAAGAAATTGTGAGAGTAAAAACGTGAACGATTTTCACGATCAAATCGAGGAGAATTTCTTTTCTAATTTGTCGGACGGAAGTTTTGCGCAGATGGTTTCTGAAAACCCTGTGTTTCACCGAAAAAATCTCAATTGTTTGCATGTAAAATATGTTTTTTTTTACATTTTCAGCAATTTATTGTTGATTTATAAATTAAATATCCTCCCATGATGAGAGAAATTTAAACGAGATCCAATGAGTTAATTCGCAGTTAATTTGCGCAGACTGGGATGAACTTCTTGTAATCATGCAATCAGCTGTAACTTATTGAAAGATATTTTCTGTCTGACTGCAGTGATGCCTTTTTGGTGATTCGCGATACTTTTGAGAGCAGAAACACCCATTTGCGAATATTTTCAGTCCGTCGGTGACTGAGAAGGGGAACCTAAGTGATTTATTGTGATTTCCAGCTTTCATTTTTGTGATTCGAGATGGAGCAGAAACGCGTCGAATTTTTCCGCGCAACAGTAGGTGAATTGTTTCCGGATTTGCGGAAAAGTTTGGCTTATTGGAAAGCTCAAGCTTTTGCCTTGAGGGCAGAAAACGAGCGTCTTCAAGCCGCTTTACACGCCGTTATTTCTGTAAGTTTTTTTTTTTGCCTTGAAATTC